TCAACGGGTAGAATTTCGAGGAATACAATAAGAGGTTACTATATTTCTGAATGTAGCCGTCCCGTAAAAGAATTTTAAGAGTGGGCACTTCACTTTCAATTTTCCGCGAGTTTAAACACATTTAACTACTTTAATCTAGTCTAAAGTTAAAACCAACTTTAGGGAAAACGATTTATGTAATTAGAGCGATAAAGGAAAGGCCCTTCTACGAGTTTATGGTGTATTCGTGTCCTCAACCACTATAAATTATTGGCAGTTATAGGGTGTTTTGAGTTAATGTCGTGTGCACAGCAGTTCTCGTCGATAAAAACATTTTTTCTCTAACAACATAAATGGCATACGTGTAGTGCTCATCCCTTCCATAGCGATGCACATTACGTACTTAAGTTTCAGGTTTCGGTCTCATTTTTGATCCGATTTACTTACCATACCATGCTCTTCCAATTTGTACCCTTTTCTTAGGTACACACCTTCGAAGAACCCGGAGTCTTCTTTTTTACCATTTCGTTGTACTGTACGGACATACCGGATTTTCATATTTTTAGAAAGATGGATTTTCGAGTGGTGAAATTCTGAATTGTGTCCCATAAACAATTATCAACGTCAGTACTAGTTACGCCTCAAGCTCATATCGTCTCGACCGTGTGCGAGAACCCTAAGACAAGTTTTCGGCTTCATACCGTAAGCACTAGAGAGCGTTAGCTCACTAGCTAACTTCTACCTTATTGGAGTTGGCGTGGATTTAACTAGGGTACACGTTTTTCCGATTTACGTAGTAAGTTTTTTCCAAACAACCTATTTTTCGTAACAATGATGAACTACGATTACAAGACAAAATCGTACTAATTTGGAGAATTGCTTTGGTAAATTTTGATAACAATATGCAATCGTTAATCGAGTGATGAGTTTCTCTAAGTTTTCACTTCTCTTTGCTATTAACTGCGAAAAAATATTTATAGTAGGCTAATTATTCTAAGCATGAATTATCAGTATCTGGAAATGTTTTCAGCGGATGCAAGTTCAATGATTTCATCAAATTCCCATTTTATGGTATTGAAGCCTGTGATTCTTCCAAAACTATTTTCAGCAGTGGTTTGGTTTTGGGCCCAGCCTCCGCAGATTCTTCCTGCACTGCTTCATTTGTGTTACGGCGACCTGTTCGATATTCTTTCACTTTGTACGATATCCATTTGTGGACATTTCACTTTCCAACCAGATAAAAGTGCTCAAAAACTTTTCACTTGCTTTAATTTTCTTCGAAGCTTCTTAACAATTTTGATAGTCAATGTCTTCAAATATCTAATGGTCGCTGATGAGAATGAGTCGCCTCCAAGTCACCACATCTTCGAATCTCGTCGCAAATATCGTAGACAAAGTAGAAGTCCACAACGATCTCTAACGGTTTCCAAGCTGAATGGATTGTTGACGTTGGAAACGCCTTTCATAGCATCACATCCTATTGTATATATATAGGCAAATCTTCTTTCTTTCTATACTTCTTTCTTAACTGGATTTGCGATCTTCTGAAACTGTTGCAAACACTTTAGCAACAACGGCAATGATGAAAAAGATTTTACAGTGAACCTGCACTTTGAAATAGTAAGCAACATAATACAAAGGCATATAATGTTGTTTGAAAGCAGTGGATCTAATCCGATAAAACCGGACAGAAATACGTTTCCGGACAATCCAAGCAATACCGAGAACTGAATGGTTGCAAATTATAGAAGGAGTGGAAAGTCAACAGGTCAAGCTATTCCTTCACTGCATCAAATAACTCTTAAATGAAACATACGTATAATAACGCCTGCATCTTAACATAGTCGCCACGTACGAGCCATATATGTCTCACTTGAGGCTGAAGAAAACTGAAACTTTCAACGTGAGACAAGTATGCCTGCGCCTCGTGGTGGATTTCACCAAGTAGCGTAGGATGTAACGGATATTGGTGACCAAAATACGAATAGTTTTATTCCGTCACACATTGAATAAGCCTCACACAAAGGCATCGTTGGTGCTTGTTATGTCCACGGTTGCACCAATTTTCTTAAAAAACTGGCTGACTCAAAGACAAACCAAAGATCCCAGTGGTGCAGTAGATAACATATGAAGCTCGGAAAGGGTAATCGCTGGTATGAATCTGGTCTAGGGTCCGAATTTTGAAAATATCTCAAAACCATTGTGGTTGTATTTTTCATAAATATTTTGTCATTAAAAAGTCAATGCACAGTAAACGAAAAGTCATGCACTCTAAAAAATTATTTTTTTAACTATTCGCGCATTTTAAGAAGGTCTAAAATAAATGTAGTGTTTTTGAAAAAAATTAGCTATAACTCCAAAATAGTGAGCTACCGTAAATTTGTTAGGTTTGTTGTTCCCAAGCATAGGAAGTTGTCGAGAAACCAACATCGTCGAATATGGGCCACTGGTGTCAGGAAATTCTAGGAGTTTTACTTGATTTCTAAAAAGTTTAGTGCTTTTCTGATGGAACCGTACATAAGTGCAGTGTTATTAGAAGATTTGTATCATCTTCAACCACTTCTCTTTCCATACATGTAGTTATTAAATTTCTCTAATCTCACGTTGAAAGAATCCATTTCCTCTTTCTTTTTATAATAAAAAGTAGACCTATGCAGAGCTTGTTTCTTTCTGGACTTCTTTTCTTGAAAAATTGTCTTCCATCGGAATGATGTCTCTTTTCAACACGCCGAAGTTGTTCGTTACGATTCAAGCTTCTACTCATATTAGGATTTATCGGAGCCCGAGTGCTAGCCAGTAGACTGTGGTGAGCTGCGACCGGTCTGTGTAGGACGGTGACGGAGGGCACCTTCATCACCACGGATATCCACTCAAACATCCATTCTCGGTAAAACATGTTGTCATATCGAATGAAACGTACTTGCACGTCTTCAACTATGGCGACCTGGAAACAGAAAAACCACCAGGTTGGTCTCTTGACATCGAGAAATTTGGTGCTTTACTTTTCTATCTGGGGAGGTTGTTTGCTATTTTTAATGTTTTCTACTGCATTATAACACTAGTTTAAACACAATTAAATGCGTTGAACATTTCTGCTTAACTTTTATAGTCTTGTAATTGCTCGATTTTATCATATTTTAGTCGGATTTCATTAAACGATTTTATTTAAAGCTTCTTAGCGCCAAGATTTCGTACAGCTTTGAGTTATGAGTTTTGCGAGTTGTGGTCGCATGAACTATTGCGGTATAATATTTAGATTACTGGTATGTTTATTTGTCAGCTTATTTTTTACACCACTAGTGTTAGTACGAAAAATAATTTGGAACATTCCTAAAAGGAGAGTTCCACTAACACAGTAAGCGTTAGAATAACAGACAACTTTAATAATTAACTAGTTCTATGCAGCTCTCTGTAGCTCGATACAGGCAGGGGAAATAGTAAGCATGAGGTTAAGAGTTAATGGAGAGGCTTTTCTCGAATTATTGCGAGTTCTGCTGGGTAAAACATGCCTGCATTCCACGGTTACTGTGCAAATGAGCGGTCGCGTCTACTGCCAATCCTACCGCCGCCACCGCTACCATCCAATCCTCTTCTCCTGTTCGGTTGGTTGTGAAAGCGGTGATGGAAGTGATGGCAATAGTCTATGGGCAATAAGCGGATAACCAACAAGATTCGTCTCTACATTAGAAGCCGTATGACACGAATGCTTTTCGCATTCATGGATGGTGACATTAGTTTAAGTGAGACTGATTTATTACTCAAAGTGATCTTTGATGCATATCCCAACCAAATTTTGCCCCCAATACCAATTAATTCGAAATTGACAATATGTTCTTTGTAAAATAAAAACTGAATTTTCTACCAGAAAAATAAAGTCTACGAAGCAGGAAGTTCTTACACAACAACAATTGGCCTAGGGCAATCAATTCTGAATAGCAATTATGGGAGCCGTTATCAACAAAAGCCGAGTGTTCTCACTCTCATACATAAGAATAATTTAATTATTTTGTTATTCAGAAGAGATCCACTTGTTGTGTTGAATTTTACGTTTGTTTCTGGAGCAAAAATACATGAAAGAAGGACGCGCTACACAAAAGTGCAGTTTTCCAGCGATATGGCGCTAGGCTTATAAGCAACGGGTTCCGACAGATTCTTCTCGACCGCTTCAACACCCAATAATTACCTTCTTCTCACGATATAGTTCACTCCGATCGGCGGCACGAAATTCTCTAGTTGTGATTACCATGAAAAATTTCACTTCTTTCCACATACTTTGAGTAGTTTGCTCACCTTTTCATACCATTTCGTCAATGGACACGATCGTTCATTATTCTCCAAGATGCTGTAGAAAACGCGTTTCAGACGGAAAGACTGTTATTTTAACAGTTCCGTTTTTAAAGAGTCCTTATTGCGCAAAATATTATTTCTTTAATAGCACTCCTGCTTGGATCATCCCTTCCTTCTGTGTGCCATAATTTTCGGAACTTCGCATTATTATTTTCTGAAGTTCTTTCTCGATCAACTGGACAAGAAGGCTTATTAGACTAACCGTTATTGAAGAATCAATCCACGCTTAGCCACTCGCATTGTTTGCAGTGATATTAACATCAACGAAAGTAATGGATGTCTGGAAGGGAATATTTTCTATTTCCTGCAGTTGCACTAATCGATTTTCAAATAGTAATCTCTTGAAATAAATTTCAAATAACAAATGATTTATTGCTCTAGAGAGAAAGATTTTAGCGTCGATGATAAATACTAATATCGTGCACCAGGCATATCCTAAAAGCTGCTATACAGCCTAATATGATCAAATTGAAAGCCCTTGGCACTTATCCGTCCACACACTATACTTTGGTTTTTTCTTAATACACAGTGCATAACTTATCATATTCCCACGAGTCTCTGCCGTGTGATGGATCTCGACTTACTTGAATGTCTGGTCACATGGCATAGCACTCACTCACCAGCTGGTCGACAGAGTATTGACGCAGACCAAAATAGAGAGTGTTTAAATTTAGATGCAGCTGGTACCAGGCCATGATTCTTGCTCCATACTGTACCGGATTAATGATAGAAAGAAGCGTATTCCTTTAGTTGCTACTGTACCTATGGTATTTTTATTTTGCACGTCGAGTTAGCCAAAAGCTCGAGACCGAGTAACGAGTGTAATAAGAGATGGTACTGCACACACGACCCCCTACAAAAAAGCGCGTTGTATATTCCGAGAAAATCATTTATTTTTATGTAAAATTGGTCACCATATGGTTTTATTTAACTCGTTCACTTACGTTTTTCAAGCATGAGAAGAAAACGATACGGATCACATTATCGAATAAGTCAAGAGAAGCTTCCCTCATGAGAGTTCCTATTGAAATCATCTACAACAAGCGAAGTAGCAAAGGAAGCGCTCAGAGTGACATATAATGACTTCACATCTAGTTAGGTGACATTGTTTCCCACTAACTCTCATAGGAAAAACGTATTCAGAATATTTTGCAAAAAAAATATTTCGAAAGCTTCACGAAAGTCAACAGACGTCTTCAACTCATAATGAGAAAAAGAGACATTTCTGAAGAAAATCCTAGATGATTGCGTTTTGCGTGGGCCATGCTCGTTTCTTTGAAATGCTCTGTGCCGTATCGAATGGCTTCGTTTTTTCAGACTCATTTTCATCAAATGCGTTTTTCTTTGTAAATCTCTCTGTTCCTTCCTGTAAATGGTGTTGTCTCCTTAATTTACCCATCTTCTCCTAACCTTCCTTTCACTTTCCTGGTCCACATGTTCGTTCCATAACTACGAACAGAGTCACTGCAGATGTTCTGGGAAACGCTTTATAAGCTTCTTCACTAGCTTAAAAAAGAACTATTACTTCGCCTATTTATCCTTGACGAAAACAACGTGCATAACGCCAATACAACATACCATTCTGCATTTTCACATTTAACACAAAACGGTCAAAATTGATCTCATTGAAACTGAAAAATGATAATCGATTAGCAGGTAGTCCATTTATGGAAAGAGGCAGGATTTAGTAATAAGTGATAGTGCAGTTTTTTTCCTGCCTGTTCCCATAAACGAACTACCCGCCAAAGGATTACCACTTTTCAATTACCTTGCTGATCACTAGTTAGAAAACCTTCATTTCATTGCGAGAAAAACGACTATTTTCAAATCCAAAATAACATATCTCAACCAAAAGATGTACTTCATTGGTTAGAATAAGAACCATTGAAATTTACAATTTTTTGCCTACATTTCTTATTATATCTTATATCTTATTCTACTTCGATGAAACTTTTGTTTTCTCGGGTCCACGGAACTGATTCTTCTCGCCTTTTCTGTTGAGGCTAGTATCTAGAAAAGCGAGCCAAATTAGAAAGCGCGATTTTGCTCTGAAAAATCGCTTGATGTACCGTGCCTACTTGTCGTTTGAGCTTTCGGTTGTTGCATTGCGTTGGAAACTTTAAAAACTTAAATTTGTTTGCCAAGTTTCCAAAGTCATAAAGAACGCTGTATTAAAATTACACACGCAGTTAATGCAAACTCAGTTCCATAAAGTTCTAAACTCCTCAAATCTTCTGATGATCAAGAAATCAGCGTTGGTTTCCGAGACGGCCGAGTGTGCTAGAATATTCCTTGAAAAGTGGGTTAAGCTCGTCGACAACTATGTTTTAAGCATAAATGAGTTGCACTGCATGTTTCTTAATGCTCTAAGTATATCAAACTATATAGAAATGCTATGTTTTTTTCAGAACTTCTTCTCCCTTCCTCTCAATAAGTAGTTTTTGCCCACGATGCCCGTGGCAATAAACAGAAGCCACGGCTTCAGTCTGTAATCGCTGTCTCTTCTCGGATGATTGCGTGGAGAAAGGCGTTCCTAATTAAATATCCTGTTTCGGGGCTCTCCTTAAATATGACCGAACAATCCAGAAGCATCTCTCCATAGCATTACTTCGAATTCCTTCCCTTACAGGCTTCTTTCTCGTTCCTTGAAGGCCGCTTCCCTTCTCCATGTCAACTTTCTAAGATGCACTTTCTGACCAATGTTTTTCACGATAGGCTAATGTATACAAATAAGTGTTAGTCTCTTCAACTAAAAAAGCCCACATTTCTTGAAATACACAGAGCATTTGACTGGAAATTCATGAAAGAAGTAGAATTTAATATACATAGTAGAAAGATATATGTGCAGAACATTTGCATGAAAACTGTTGGCTGGCTTGGCTTGGCTGGAGTTGGCTTTTGTTTTATTTCACTTGAATCAAGCATGAAATGTTAGATTGTCTTAAAAATATGTTGTAAATCCTTCTATGAGATTTCCACAACATGTCATATTCAAATTGTTTAGCGAAGTTTTTGTGAGAAACAGATTTGTACCACCTGCATTAATGTCATCCAAAAACAGAACAACGAAGAAGTCTCTCTCGTTGGCATAACTGTTGACTGTCCATAGTCCTCACACTGAGTCCAATCTTCTGAACTGGACCACTGTCCAAACGAACAAACCTCAGTCGCAGTGCTCTTTTATCCAGGACGGTTGTTGATTAACTGGCTGTCCGTGAATAATCGTTTATTCTCCTTCAGACAATCCATCCTACAGTAGTTGGTATCATTATCGGCTACTATTAAGCCCAATAAAAATTTAACAACCAACTAAAGTATTTTTATCATCTTCACCTTAGCTTATCCATGAAGGAATAGATATTGGTTAGCCATGATGAAGTTGAAATAAAGTCGGTTTTAAAACACTGACTGAAATCTATTTGTCATTCTACTATAAGCACACATCATAGCCTATATCGCAGGGGCCTCCTAAATTGAAACGAAATCATTGGACAGTGCACATCTTTTCTAATAAGGTTTTAATTTACTTCCTTCTATCGCAATAAAGTCCATTCGTCTAGACCTTGTCATTTTCAGGTTGTATTGAAGATTAAACCAGGTCATCTTTAAAATTATAGAGCGAGGCTTTTCCGGGAACATACAAATCCTCAAATCTACAAACACTATAATTTTCGCAAAATTGTGGTTGGGTCGTTCACTAAATTCCTGCGAGCACGAGTGACACGAACAGGCATCACTAATATCTCCATGTTCAAGTGCTATTCCCTAAAAATTATTGAGAGCTGACAGAAAGCCGGCACAGTCGACAACCGTCGAGTCTTCCATCCTACTCTCTTCAACTCTGGTCCACAGCATGGCAATCGCTTTTACGTGGAGGTCTGCGATAGATGGACAAGTATGCTCAAGAGTAACTTACTGACCTTCTTGAAGTAGGCGTCGACATCATTTATAGGAGATGACCATGAATTACTTCCCAGTTTCTTTGCAAACGCCTGATAGTAGGCTCTTTGCAAAATTAACGTGAACATAAGAATGGCCTGCATACACGCACATATGCGTGTATGGACATGTGTAGAAAACAGATGTTCAATTTATTCTTAAATTAATAAGCTGACGCGAGGTTGTTGTAAAAGTTATTCATCAAACATTTCGGCAACTTTGCCTTCCTCGCAGCCGGAGTGATTCCAGTCGACTGCCCACAGCCGTTCATTCTCACGATATGGGTCTTTGTAGGCACATCGAGTCGTGTACAGTAGAATGGAGCACCTCGACCTAAGGTGCCCCAACTTTGGCAGTGCAAAAGTTCTGTAAAAACCCTGTTCCAGGCTACTAACTTTGGAAAGGATTGATTATTGATGTCGATGTCGGGTGAAAACCGTTCTTAAATGAAGTAGTCTCTTTTTCTGAATGTATTTGTGTCAAAACATCTATCCCGATACCTCCTAGTCTTTCCTATGCCATACAGTCTACTCGTGAGCTAGTTGCTTCAATACGATTACGCTTTAGTATTCTTTTAAAAAGGGAAATCACCTGTCACCTGTATCACCTGCAGTCCCATTGATCGTGGAGTGACTTGAGCGGGTTCCAGTAAATCCTCCATTTTTTCCTGTCACGTGCAAGAGTAGCCCAGTGAGTTCTGCACGCTCTAGAGACTCGTTTAAAAAGGAAGATCAGTGTGTGATAATAGTATCACCGTACTATTAAGGTAATAGTGGGAAAACATGGAAATTGTATTTATTACACTATTGGGACCACGTTCATTTGCATAAATTATACATTTCCTGAATGTTTCAAACTAAAATGATGATAACACGGCCGAGAGAAAGGCTAAACGAAGGACCCGAATGATGTCGTGGTGCACGCGTTAGCATCTGGAAAGGGTAATTGCGTGTTCGGCCTCCACCGCAGATGCCAGCAGGCCCGCAGTTTTGCAAATATCTCATTATCATTATATTTACATAATGAGAGGATTTCAGCAAAGAGTTCAATTAGTGTTTTCAGTAGATTCAATTAAAAGGAATAATTGGACAGTAGACTTCCATGCGATTCTCTTCAATGTAAGGAGTTTTCATAAAAGTTCGTTTTCAATCGCTTTTTCCCGATGATATCGGCTATCAACATAACTCGTTCTTTCCACTAAAATACTAGGCGAAATGCCCTCGTTTATCCCATAAATTTCTAATTTTTTAATGAAACTCATTTAAAATCTGGAATTGAGTACGGTAGTCGTAAAATCGCGTTACTTAAAGGGTTTACTCCAGCAGGTAATGGCCTAGAAGCAAGAGAGATTCGGTGGACGAATCTCAGAAATTCAGGCTTATTTTTCGCTTAGACAACGAGGCGATTTAGCCAAGTTGGCTTTTAAATGGGAGCTGCTTAATATGGCCATAGTAAAACTCTACGTTCCAGCAACTACTTCCGACGATGAAGAAAAAAATGAGCAACGTTCGAGTGCTGCGAGACAGATGGAAAGAGTGCGATTCCGATAGCACACATGGTACGTTTTTTGTTATATTTACTCGACTTGATTTGACCAGGTCGTATTCACACAAGTACGTTCAACTCCAGGGCTAAAATTAACGAGTTCTTGGAATATTGAGCATAGATTAATTATAGCTAGGTTTTTCTCATGAAAACGGAGCGGCTGTACTTCACTTGTTTTTCAAGGTTTCTCATTCTGCTTTGTCATGCCAAAATTTTACTACACGATGATCCACTTGCGGTTCACATGTCATCTCTTGGAAATTGTTTCTAGCAGTTTTGATACTTAGTTCCAAATTTTGAAAAGCGGAAAATATAGCTTTGATGTTCGATGAGCGTTCTCCAAATTTTGAGTATCTTTCGATTCTAGCATATTTAAATGGGAAAAAGATTCCGCTCTGGAGGCAGTAATACATCGCTTTCCTTCAACGATTTTTAGATTTTCTTTTGTTTTCCCACAAATTTTAAACACTATATCCCATCTGCAGTCTCACGTAGTATCGAGAGAGCCCTCCACTCCATTCACCTCTGTAGCATTCCAGGATTCCTACTGTAGTTCTCTCAATAAGAACATGGCGAGCATCATGTTTATCACATGAGACTTCGACTGCTTTTGGTGGGAGGCAACCCAGTTGGTAGTTGTTGAACTTCGTCGTGGGTTAAAGTATACTCACGGATGGGTTTCCAAACTTTTCGGAGAGAAATGTGGCTCTTTGGACGCTCCTAGTCAATTCCTACGTACTTTCTTTTAAATTGACGGTAAAATTTTCGCAGAGTGGACGTGGACATGACTTGCATGCAAACAATCATATCACGTGTAAACATGATTATGGTCACCTATATATGCAGTGGGAGGCGCGTCAGTTGAAGATATCGTGCAACGTGAGCGTGGTACACAGTTCGACCAGGCCCTTAGCTAACCAGCTCTCCCATTATTCTTGGCCGGAAAGTTGACACCAGAATTGCCCAAGAGAAACTCTTTCTGATCCGTAAGGCCAGCGTCTCCCTAAGATCAAGACACGAGAAGGCTCTGCTGAAGTTATCCAATGATTCTAACATGAATCAACTCGATAGGAATTAAACGATGTTTAAGGAAAGAAATATGTCCTCAAAAGTAATTTTTAAAAAAAACTTAATTTGTTGGAAAACGTGAATCCGACAACTTTCGTGGATAACGGATGCGGTACGAAGATGCTGTAACAGAAATGCTAGGATTTGCGCAGAATTTGATAATTGAACACAAGGAGTGAAAGACTATAAAAATATAGGAGATATGCAAGCAGGTTCGCCGAATGGTTGTGAAAATCGCAAGCGAGTTCTAAATCCTCAATCCTTCATATCATTTACAAAGCACCTTCGTTACAAGTCAGATCACCTTTAGATGGTCGTTATTGGCATCCACACTGAGACTGCGTATTTTCACAACGCTAAAATGTGCCGAAATAAAAAACAGACTAATCTGCTTATCCATTAATCTCAAAGATAATTATCGTTTTTCAATGCCGTTGCAGTGTAGAATATTTGTGCAGATAAGTGATACCAATTCAATAAAAAGGGCGTGTAGCACAGTAGTTAGCGGTGTCCTGCAATACACATTTGGTCATGGGTTCGACCCCACATCTCGGGCTCACTGAGAGCTTCCATCCCTCCACGGTAGGCAAATTGGTAGCAAACTTATCGTGAAGGATAAAACACTGCTTTTACTTCGGTAGGCTACCATAGTTCATTATATGAGGCAAATATGCTTCAGTTACTCTATAACGATGTTTGGTGTAGTCCGCTTTACTCTCCATTCTTTTAAACTTGATGAAAATTTTTTGCCGAAGTAGACATACTACACCCGTTTTTCTTTCGTTGTAAAGTAATAGTGTTTTTGGGTTTTCATGAAATTCATTGATGAGCACTGTGGATGGATATTAGATATACAAGTCATTGATATTGACAGATTTTCGTACTCTAGGAACATTAACCTTTTTAACCTTTTTCATTAACCTTTTTCTAGGAACAAACATTAAAAAAAGCGGTGGGTTTTTCGAGAAGTTGTTGATCATGTAATTACCGAAGAGTCTTTCGTCTTTTTGTAAGTGTTACTGAAGCGTTTGGCCTAGTAGATTGTATATCAGTATGCCCTTCCAAGCTCTGAAGAAGGCGATACTGCCGAAACGTCAGCCAGTGTTGTATTGTATTGTGTTTTTATGGAAGTAAATGTATGCTGTTTAAAATCCTCGCGATTGCTGAACAAGAAAACGACACATTAACCTTTTTGTATGGCTCACTCCGAAGCATTGGGTTTTGTTAAATTGTAAAGAATAGAAATGTGGTAGAGATGTCGCTCAACAATTCCAGCAAAGTCTTGGTTCGACCCTGGCACGGGCCATACAAACCATTCATCTCTTTGTGGTCGCAAATTTGCACCAACTTTTCAGGAAAACGAATCTGATAAAAGAAGCGCTGAAATTCGCAAAATACGTGATGTTGGGACATGTTTAACGAAACAAATATCTTTTTTATTTTGAAAGCTGAGATGCAGCATCGCACATGCTGCATTACATGCGACATCATTCCGTCTATAAAGCGAAGAATTTTGGATTCACTCCAGAGATTAGCTTTAGGTTAGGGTGAAGACTAGGTGAAGTCAGGCACATTGAATAGAAGACGATGAAAAGATTTTGTTTTTGGCACTCGTGAACACTCTTTCATCTCATCGAACATTTGAAAGTATGAAAGTAATCAGTGACATCTAAGAGTTGCCACAGGTACGTGACTATATGGGCAAGGATTTACCATTTCTTTTAAAAGAGATCCCAGTGTGACTCTGACTTTTGTTTCAAACGGTTCTATGGTTTAAATTATAGCTCGCTTTGACGTCGTAGTTGTATTGTTGAACAGTTTCCCTTTGTCAGAAATCTATGGGTGTGATTTTGCTGTGTGAGCTTGAATAAAGTAGATTCAGGAGTCATCAGATCTCAGTTGTTTTTTTTGCGGATGTTCTGAAAGATAATTTCAGAAGTTGTATCGAAGGAGGTGGGAGCAACGCATGTGCGCTTAAATATCGGAGGCAAATCGTTCTGCGTGAGACGTGAGCTGTACACGGACGAGCGGACTCTGATGCACGACATCGTCGAATCCTCCCACGAAGAAAGGTAACGGATCATAGTAGTAGTGATAGATGACAGTGATAGATGGATGACACAGGCAGTAGTGATAGTTGGTAAATGATAATAACAGTAAATGAATGGATGCCTGTCTATGTAATCGGTGCAATAAAATATCACGTTCTGAAATATTTAAACAAAATATTTAGGAAGAAAGAAGCAGAAAAATTGTCAATTAAAACCTCGTACATGTTCTTTTCCAAAGCAGATTTTTCAATCCAGGTTGGCTCTTGTGGATGGATGTGATCCGAATACGGGCGAGTACTACATGGAACGAAATTCAATCATCTCCAATCATATCGTCGATTTTTTCTCAACAGGTCCCTGTTTCCATTTGGCCAATTTTCAATCCCTTTCAGTGAATGAGCTTGTGGGAATTGACGGTTTGACATGATCGAAATCTATCAGAAGAAATCTAGAGTTCACTGCTAGAATAGAGCGGTAATGAGCCACGACGACTTCTTCACCCTTAGATTTTCTAAACAGAATTGTTAACCTATAGACAAATTTTGTGTTTAGGAAGTCTCCACAAGCCTCAGAACATTTGTGCTGAGAGGTTTAAAGAAGAGTTGGCGTTCTGGCGCATCAGCCACGAACATGTTAGTTTTTGAATTCTTCACTTATTAAAACGATTGACATGTGTATGACGATGAATGAAATGGCTAAATTTCTAATATTATTTCTCTTCTCAAAGAATTGAAGGGTTTTAACTTTTTTATTTGGTATTGTGTCTGGTACAAACACTATGATGCTGAGATATTTACAAAACTCCGGACCTCATGTGTCTGCGGTGGCAACCGTACACACTATTAGCCGTTCCGGTGGCTAACGCGTTCACCTCCACGCCATGCGGGTCCTTCGTTTTTCCTTTCTCTCAAGTTCTAAATAGAATACCTAGTTTCGCTTTTTCTCCCAACGATTTACAGCCTCATCATGGCTCGGAGGTGTTTCTGGGTGTCGGGCGGCTATGTACAGCGGGAGGATTCATCCCCGTGGCAGAGTGTCCTAAGCTGAGAACGAGACCGACCTTTCCATCAAGAAGGCTAGCTAAGAGTGAACCAATACCAGAATTCACCACCGTCCTGGTATCAAAGTCGCATGGTGGCAAATCTCGCTCTGATCCACAGAGGCTGCGAATGCCTGCGAATGCGAAGACCTAGGGCAGACTTTTGCCAGCCTGACCTTGGGATTCCAGAGAACCACAATGGCTTAGCCAGCAAATATCCAGTAAATGGTAAATATGCTAGTGCACAACCAGGGAGGACAGGCCTTTCAAGAATTAAGTGTCAAGTAAGTTTCGCTTTTATCTATTCCGCTGATATTGGCTTCCCATTCACTTGATGAAAACATTGGAATGCCACATAATCAACAAAAGTCGTTAAAAGTTTTGCACATTCTTCTGATAAATCGAAAAAATTATGAACAGTTTTTCGAAAGGATCTGCGAATGAAGATCACTCCATTAACTGCAAAAGTTAGCATTATCATATGCGTCGAAGCCGGAAAGACCTCTGATGAGACAACATTGTCTCACATCATAGCTGAGACCGAACGAAATCGAAAGTTTATTTACTTGTTGTGAGCTGCTTTTGGTGAGCCACTCTTGACGCTGCAAGTGCGAACACTCTCCCAAAGTGAGGAAGTTCTCTATGGCGCCCAACAGCAATGAACAGCTTTTCACCTATGCTGAAGAAAGGAACAACGGCCTAAACGTCTTGAGCGAATCAAAATCACCTGAAAAATTCATTGCATTTCGAGCACTAAACGGCTATGTTTACCTCGCAACTCGTCCATCACTAGTGTTGAGACAACGTCAGTGCACGACCTTCAGTGTGTACAGCTTCCTTTACCTAATAACTTCCGTGTCTAGTACCACGGCCACAAATGCACTTCGCCTTAAACACTCCAATTCCAAGATCATAGATGACAAAACCGATAACATGTATCACCTCATGCAAACAGTATACGATTTCGTCTCACCGTCTAAAAAGTAAAGAATAGTAACAGAAGAACGACTCTCAGTATAAAGTCGTCGAAATGTTAGCCATAAAAAGCTGAAAAAAAAATTGCTAATAGCTTGTCAAGGTTGGAAAAGCCCAATAACCTTTTACTTAATGATGAGGCCAATTGACGTTTCATCTTTAAAATTATAGGTAATGTTTGAAGTGACTGAATTCAGATGGCATCTTGTTGTGCACTGCCGAAGAGTATGAGCGGTGGAAAGCTTCATTTGCAGTCAATGAGCACTTATGAAGAATGCGACACTGATTTCGACGGAGTGAGTTCCTGGAGAGTTTTTGTAAACCTGATTAGTTTCTACAATTCGATTTATTGATTTGCTTTCTTATAGGCATATTTTCCTTCTCTGCGTTTGTCCTCATGGAGGTTCCTTGAAGATCCACAGTCGTCATACCCAGCCGCAGTGTTCGCTTTGTTATCCGTCCTATTCGTTTTTTGCAGTGTCGTTGGTGAGTCTTGCTATTAACAAGGGTGGGTTCTTTAATATTTTCCCACTTCCTCTTAAACACATTTGATAAGTTGGTCAGCAGAAATTTGTTTTCCCGTTGGTGCAAACCTAGAATAAGTCTAGAAATGTTAACGAATTACGACATTTTATATACAATATATCGTTTCGGTCTATTGCATTGTGAACATGGTCACCATCTGCTAATTTTAAGGACCAGAAATTTGCAGGGTTAATACTCGGCTCGATGCCAGAGTTTCAAGAGGATCCCACTAATGCCTCAGCTTACCACTCCATGCACGTAAAGACTAATGAGGTATGTATACCTCTTTTCTCTCACATAAGTGCCGCCAATTCCTTATTACAAATGTGAACAGCTGCTGTGATGAATCTCCAGTCAAGTGGTGCAGCTCAACTGTTGTGTTCTTCTTAAAGTTCTATACTGAGCAGCTCTGACTAGGATGCGTTCCATACAAAGCCATTGTATTTAGGGCAGCATATGTTTCGCCTACATTTTGAAAGTTGTAGAGGTATGAACGAACGTCTACAGATGAAAATACATCTACCTTACCGAAAGAAGCCAAATCTGTCTGAACTTGCTCCACTAGTTGCACTTAATTCCTTCTGTGCTCATATTAACATCGTTATCTTTTGAGATATGCTGTGTGACAATGATATGAATCCACATGGCATACATCAACCTAAGGCATTGCTTACTGAGATAAAGCTTGCTTTAGTTAGTAGCTTTTGTGGAATTTCCTTAGTCGATGAACTCAAACCTTTTACATTAAAATGTCAAACACTTTATATTAACATTATTACAAACTATCTCTTTCTTAATATTGCCCTCCATTAAACATGTATAGCCAAATTCCTGAAGTAGCCGTTGTTTTACCAGCGACGGTAGTTGTTTTGCTCACTGGACGTCCACGGTTTTCAAGACAGCACCATCAGTATTGAGCACCCTGTAACGGCTCTCTTCCAGCCTTTATTCGGAAATCGGAGAGTACAAATTCAGGATTAATACGCTCCAACATATAGCAACTTCGTTATTTTGCAAAAACTTCCTTCAAACAGGTTCTTTCATAGACGATTAATTATTTCTCTTCAAAAGTGTTAGCTCGCCCTAATAATGCTCTTTATCATATCCGCTTCGTCATTAATCAAAGTGAGTTTGCAAAGTCCTGAGAATCTGCAAGACTAATTGAGTGCCTTTTTATAACAATTTTAAAATCTCAGTCTTAACTCTTTTATTTACTGCCTTTTTCTTCTTAATGGCAGGGTATGTTGTGAAATATAACTCGTATGAAGTGCTGAGATATCTGCAAAACTCCGGACCACAGGTGTATGCAGTGGAGAACAAACACGCGCTGTTGTCCTTACCGGGGAGCAGCGCACTTCACCACTACACCATCCGG